CGCCCTGCTGCCGCTACTTCAGGAGGGGGGGGTCTGCTCTCCGGCCGGTACTGGGCCGTAGTGCAGCGCTTTAAAACGAACGTCTTGAGCCAATGAGTATCCTTAACGAGGCAAAGTTTCGCATTCTTTAGCGGTGTGATGTGTCAGCGCTGTTGTGGAGGTGGCTGTTATAGGGTAGTATGTCGCTGCAGCTTTTATAAAGCTGTTGAACAGATTAAGTATTTTGAAACTGCAGACGATTTTACGCAAAAGTGCTAACTCTTGCCTGGTATTGATTGGATTTTTTTTTTTTTTAAACCTGGCGCTTTCTTATTCTGATTGTAGACTCCATGGCAGCTAGATTCTGACCTCAGATGAAAGGGCGATGTTTACTCAGTTGATGTGACTTTCCAAAGTTAAAAAACCCTGTGTATTTATTTTATTCATCTTTTTCCAAAATCTAACATTAGTAGGGCTTTTATTGTTAACAGTCTAATAGGAACAGTTTTCCAAGTGATCCCTGTGGTGTTTTATTGTCCTACATGCTCACAAAATGCCACCATAATTTCCTTATTTGCATATTTCGTTGGTCCTATTGCAGTGATGACTAGTCAGACAACTTGGAATGTGGAAGTAAAAGAAAATATTGTAGACTACCAAGGGGATGGCTCTCGTAATGAGAATTAATCGATGGACAGCTGTTTTAACGTGTATGATTTGAAAAGTTGCACTTATGTGTAATACTACTTTGTTAAATATAGTTAGAAAGACTATTCAATAAACTGATTGTTATGCTATGGCCAATTTTACAGTACTGTTATCTGAAAACTAATTGATCAGTGTAGCCACTGAGCCCTGCAAAATAAGGTCTGGATCTGTATGTTTGGAGTATGTGAATTCTGAGTCACGAGACAGTATGCTTACTTTGGGAATTCCTTGCAGAATCAGGTCTTATGACTGTAGGAAGGCATTCAGACGACTTTAAAACATTTGACTTTTTCTTAGCTGTTGCTGCCTCGTAATTTTTGTTAAACACAGAAGAAAATTATTTCTATGATAACAGTAGACTATCATAGTTTACTTTACTTTCTTCTTTTCCTAGCCATGCAGCTTCTTATAATTTTAATAGTAACCGAAGAAATTTACTTACTAAAGTCATTTCTTTACTGAAGAAATAAAAATGATTTTGGTTCAAATGCTGTTCCGATAAGTAAATTGGTTTAAAAATAAATTTTTCATATGACTTTGAAGGTACTAGTCCTATCTAAAAATGAAAGTTGTATTTTTGATTCTCAAGTTTGCTCTTGCATCTTTATAAGTATGTCAAAATTTGTATAATTTCAGAGCTTTTTTATTCCCTTACTGGCATAGTCAAAAGCAGCCATGGTTGGTAATGTCCCTGAAAGTGACTGAAACTCCCACATACTGTTCTGAATTGGCTGAGATCTCTGCTCAAGAGTCCCAGTTTACATGAAGTACTGTGCTCCTCGTGGACCTGGTTTTTTTTCTTTTTAAAGTATATCTAATAAACATGGAGCATATACTCATACTCGTGTATGAAATGCATGAGTGATTCATGTTTTACTATAGATGGTAAAGTATCATTTAAGACCCTATCCTGTAGATATTAATGCATGTCATGGTATTTATATATATTAAAATATGAATTACCTTTTTGTTAGTGAAAACAAGTTTTGTTGTTTTTTTTTTTTCAACTTTCCTTGAACAGCAAAATGTTTCATTCATTTTTACTGCAATAACTGTCACTTAGGAGCAGATTATAAAAAATGTTCAGGAGTTGGCCATTTTGCAGACCCTGGAAATTTTGGCTGCTTTGAAGGGCATGAATTTCTTTAAAGATCTGGAATGGGTTGTCATCATAGTTATGAACAGTATTTTCTGATTTTTACTTTCCACACTGGAAGATGTTCTACTTTAAATAACAGAGATACTCAATACCAGACTCAATGCATATTGCTGCAAAAAACATTTTAATATAAATTGCTTATGAGGTAAAAGCGGCACTATGCTTAGTAGAGATGGGGTGCTAAAATTCTACTTATTTCTTAACATTTTTATATGTGTTAATTAGATAATATTTTTACTTAGTCCTGAAATAGAACATATCAAATAGACTTCATCCTGCACCTGCTGACTTCAGTAACAAATTCAAAAATTACACTCCTGTGTAATGTTGGAAAGATGGACTTTGCATAGAGTATGCCATTTTACTTGGATAACATTTAGTAACACAATGAAACTTTACTACTCTTTCTGCTGTGCGCTGCCTTATGTTAATAACTCCACTAACATTGCTTTCACTTAATTTAATGCTGATTGCCTTTAACATTTACTAAATGGTTTTGAAAATTGCTGTAGCTTAGCCTGAGCCCTTTGTGATTAGCTGCACCAATTTGAAATGGCCAATTTGGATGATGACAGAACCTCCTCTGCGCATGCCTTTTTGAGATATGGTAAGTGTGTAGTTTTGTGTTTTGTTTTTGTTTGTGGCTATTTTATTCTTTAGAAAATAATTGTTTTATGTTTCATGTGTGATGTTTCAGTTTTGTGCTAGCCATTTTTTAGAACTGTACAGAGAAGAATTTAAATAGAAATGTGAACTGTTACAGTGAAAATTTTATGAAATTGAAATCTACCTAGATTGAAATCCACCTTTCATATTTTCCTATTTGGCTTATGTTTTTTTATTTTCTTACAAGTATCTCACAGTATAGCAAACTTATTAAGAAATTTCAGTTCAGAGATTCTTACTTAAGATGATAGTCATGTGAAAGGTGCTCTAAGAATGATGTTTAATCCCTAAAAGAAAACCCAGCATGACTACTTTAAAGAAGAAAAGTAACACTTCCAACAAGTCTATCATTGTCCTAAAGTTGTCTTTTGGAAATGAAGCAGAAGCAAAATAAAGTCCTCCTCCCCATGCCACTGCTGGCACAGCTTCTCTTTTGATATAGTGGAAGATAGGTTATCTGAAGTTATCAAGACCATTACTGTTCTGATTTAGGTCAGTGTACTTTGAAAAAGAGTTTGCCTGCAGCAAACTGTCTGTATGTGATGCTGATGTAGGAAAAGTTTGTGTAGCACTTGCTTAGTCTGTGCTGAAACACATAAGCAGTAGAAATTTCAGTGAGAATTGCAACATATGAGGATTTCAGCTGTCCCTTGCAACAGTGGGGTCACTTGAACTACTTTATTGTGCCTGTGACATTTCTCTTCTGTTTCTCTAATGTCAAAGGACCGGCAATGCGTTGACATTATAATGAAAAATACTGTGTTTTCCTCATTACTGTGTTGATACTTGATGTTTGTCGTCTTGGCAATGACAGAAAATAAACATTTTTAGTAATTTAAGAGCTGTTGTTCTGAATTTTCAGGTTGACAAATAACAACATAAAATACTGATTGCCTTGAATATCTTGAATGGTTTCCTGCCTTGCTTGCTAGCATTTACCAGCCTAATGTGGTAGAATTTGGCATTTTGCTATATTTTGCTTGTGTGAAGCCCCCGTGTCCTGGTGTAACAATCAATGTTTTATTTACGATGTTCAGTAATTTTTGTGCGTTCATAAATTATTAATTGCTGTAAATTCTGAAATCAGTAATTTGTATTAAGTGTAATGGACTAAAAAGAGAAGTCACTTCAGATGATTAGAAAATAGACAAATGACAAAATAAATTGGTATTTTTTCTTTTTTCATGAAATTCTAAATGTGTTATATGCACAATCAAAGCCACAGTTTTTCTTGATTGTTAAAACATTTTGTCACTTCAAAACTATTTCAATAAAATTACTACAAGATTTTACTTGTTTATACCTGTGCTGTTATCATCCCTCAGTCTAGGTAAAACTTTCTCCCTTCTGTTTCCCTTTATCCTAAATGACAGGAGTAAATAGACCCTGCCCCAGGCAAGAAAGGAAATGTTGTCATAGAATTATAGAACAGTTCAGGCTGCAAGGGACCTTAGGAGCTCATCTAGTCTTAACCTCTTACTCAAAGCAGGGTCTTGTGTGTAATGATTTAAAACAAACAAGCAAACAAACAAAAAACCCCCCCAGCAACAGGGTTGCTACATCTTAAGTTCGTGGGATCCTAGTTCTCAGATATTATGTATGTTAGAAATGCATTTTCCTGCAAGTGGAAAATTAACTCATTTCCAGCCTGTGCCAAGGATAAAGCATGAAATTAGTTTTTCTCATAAGCACAAGTACATAACTTGCATCATCCTAGTTTCCAGTAGTATAGTTCTCTACATCTAAAAAAATCAGCACACAATTGTATGGATTTCAGTAGTTTCTTCAAACGTAGATTCAGAGTGAAATGGTAAGGTTGTTTACCAGTTACTAACACCATACTAATACCAATATTAGAAAATACATGTCAACTGATTAGTGCAGTAATTGATATATCTGACAGCTTTTATTCTGGAGGAAAAAAAGAAATCTAGATTTTTTTTTGGAAAATTGCTGCAAAAACTCATTTGATGTTTTTAAACTTTTGAAAATTATTTTCTGGTATCTCCTTGCTCAGCTATGTGGACTGGGTAATTAAGAGATTCAACTCTGACTTGAAAACAGGTGTATTTCTTGGCAGACAACTATTAGTACTGAAGAGCAAAGCTGTTACATACAATTTATTCTACATTAGGCCTCACCTCAAGAGAGGTTGCAAGAGGAGTCTAGAGGAAAAGGAGAAATGATGTTGGGAGGATATGATCCAACTGTCTTGATTTCATTTCTTCAAAGTGTGCAGTGTAAAGAAATAAAGTCGTCTTTGGTTGCAGTGATTTCTACAATGCCAACGTAGTTTTAGCTGTTCCTTTTGTAACTTGTTTTTGCTTGCCCATACTAGTTCTGGGCAATGAAAACTACATCCAGAAACTGCATTAAAGGACTATGACCAGTTTGGATGTCTCATGATATACATCAAATCTAGAAAGAAATGTGCTTTCTCAGCTTACTTTGTTTGGGGGGTGTGTGTGTGTATTTTAGGCATGCAAGTGTACATTTATGTTTCTTCTTCTGGCATTTAAAACGTTGGAAATAAAATTCTTGTCTTTTTGCTTCTCTTTGCTTGTGATTAAACTTCATAGTGATTTTTTTAATTCTGAATTTTGTAAAATGAGAATAATTAGTGCATGGTGAAACGTGCAAATATATATCCGTAGACTACATCCAGAGTTCCATTCTGATGCCTATTTTTCTATAATATCTACCATTTCTGCCATCTTCAAGGGATGGGTTGGTGTTCAAAGCTCCTGAAAATCTGACTTTGGGAGCTGGGTTTCAAAATGTTGGCTATAGCTTTTAAATATAAATATCTAGGCTGTTTATAGTTCTTCCACAGAAAGCAATTAAAGGTAACCTTGAGTACAACTGGAATAAAAATGATGTAGGTGGGAAAGTTCTTTGTCAGGAGGACATCAGTATTCACAATATCCAGAGGTGGTGTATGCGGAAGTATTTGCATAGCTAATAGCTTATCTCAGAGAACTTCCCTTAGTTTCCTTCAGTATTGCACTCTGCTTAGAGGATGTCATTAGATTGTTAATTTTTCCTGAAAATGTTGTAAATCTGGTTTCATCTGCTGTTAGTAGTTTCTTATTATTGTCTTCTAAGTCTTAAATATCTTGTCTGAATTTTACTCTAGTTTTACATTAGTAATTGATAGCTCTATTATCAATTACTGTGCTGCTTCAGATCTCTTCCTTTTCTCTGATTCTTGAAAGGAAATGACTACCCTTTTTAGCAATGCTTCAACTTGAAGAATGGTGAAACCATGTTATTCCTGAACTTGTAAGCCACTTCTGAAATGAAAGAGGATTTATTTTCTCATTTTTTCATTCAAAGTATAGATGTAGCATATTGTTTAGTCAATGCAAGAAAAACAGAAATTTAAGTGGAGTTGGGGTGAGGATTTTGAGTGTTTTCTTATGAGATGTAAAATCTTGATGCAGGTGGCAGCATTTTGATTTCCTGTCTATTAGTATTTTTAACAAATTCAGAGTAGTTACTGACCTGCAGCAGTCTGCCTCTGACATAAGAAAATAATTGAAATATTTCATTCTTTGTGGAAGAAAATTTAAACTACCGCGTACCCTATTCAAATTTTGTATATGGTGGTATATAACTGTGCAACTGAAAGAATTATTAAATTAACTTTTTTTTTTAATCCAGCTTCCTCACATTTTCTTTTTTAGCTTAAAAAAACTGCATAATATGGTTACAATGAAATAAAGTTGGTTTTGTTTTTTTTTTTTTGACAAACACTAGTTGAAATACATGTCCTTGTTCTGTTAATTCTAAATGCTAACATAAAAGCTGAGGACTCAAGGGTAATATTAGCAGTGTGACATTCTTTTTCAT